GTAAGTTGGAGACATCCTGTAATGACTTTATTCCACTGCAAAGCTTGGTGTCATCTGCAAAGACTGAAACAGTATTTTTAATTCCAGACTCTATATCATTTCTATATATATTAAACAGTAAGAGTCCCAACACTGACAAACCTAGACCATTCAGAATATGAATCATTAACCACTACTCTCTACAATCTTTTAGCCAGTTTTCCAACCATTTGCATACTGATTTTTCCAAGCCTGTAGACTTTACCTTACAAATTAGCCTTGTGTGGGGACCTGTGTCTAACATTTTTGCAAAATCCAAGCATACCACCTCCACCACCACCCCTCTGTCCAAGGTTTTTCTCACCTCCTTATAAAAAGAAATCAGATTTGTTTGACAACTTCTGTCTTTCATGAATTCATACTGTCTATTGCTTAAAATATTTTTTTCCAGCAATAACTCATCCATGTGGTCTTTTATGAAACTCTCCAGTATCTTCCCAACTGTAGAAGTTAAACTAACAGGTCTATAATTACTTGGTAAAGATTTTGATCACTTTTTAAATATAGGCACCACATCCAATCCAGCGGTACTATGCCAGTCATTAAAGAGTCCATAAAAGTTAGAAAAACAATGGCTTTGGAATAACAGAGCTCAATTCTTTAAGGACCCGTGGATGTATGCCATCCACTTCAGGTGCTTTGTTCACCTTTATTCTGTCTAAATATTTCTTGATCATATCAGTTGTGAGCCAATGTGGATCATTTGGGACTGTGTCAATACCATGCCCACTATGGAAAAAAGCTCCCCCATGTTCCTATGTATACACAGAGCTGAAGAGGGTATTTAATACATTTGCCTTCTCTTTTTCCCCAGTCACCCACTCTAGATTATTTTGTATCAGGCCTACATGTTCGGTCCTGACCTTTTTACTATTAATATATGTGAAGAACTTTTTTGGGTTTGCCCTGCTATCTTTTGCAATCGGTTGTCCGTTTTACATTTTTGCGGCCTTGATTTCCTTTTTGCATATTCTGTTATATTCTGTTATATTCTTTGTAATGTTTATATTTATTTTTATGTTTAATAAAAGCTCTTTTCTTATTATTTTTAGCTTCTCTAACTTTGGCCGAAAGCCACATAAGTTTGATTTTTTAGCCTTTTAAACTTGTTGCCCATGAGAATATATTTTGCAGTGTGTTCACATACAGTCTTTTTGAAGAACTTCCATTTCTGTGTTGTATTACTTGATGCCAATATTCCCACCCGGTCTGAGTCTTGGAGAGCATCTTTCAGCTTGGAAAACTAGCCCTCTTATAGTTGAGCGTATATATTTTTCCCGTATGTGCTTGTTGTTTACAGCTAACAATAAATTAAATAATCTTATGGTCACTGCTACTCAGATGTTCTCTTATATGGACATTAGTAATAAGCTCTGCATGGTTTGAGATTACCAGGTCCAGCAGAGCATCATTCCTAGTTGGGGCCTCTATGAACTGTACCATAAAATTGTCCTGTAGTAGGATTATTAATTTTTGCCCTTTAACTGTTCCTGCAGTGCCATTACTCCAGTCAATTTCCGAGTAGTTACAATCCCATTATTATCACTGTCCCAGCCCTTGTAGTCCTTTTGATCTGTGCAAGGAGCTCCACTGGGTGGCCTATAACAAACTCCAATGATTACCTTTGTAGTACACACCCCCATGTGCAGTTCCACTCATAATGCTTCAGCCTCATCACACTCTCCATCAACTAGGTCCTCTTCACACTCGCTCTGAGATCACTTCTCACATAGAGACAAACACCACCACCTTTCATTTTTACCCTGTCTCTCTGAAAGAGAACATAGCCAGGAATATTAATAGACCAGTCATGTGAAAAATGAAGCCAAGACTCAGCAATACCAATTAAATCATAATTCTCTTTATGCACCAAAGCTTCCAACTCACCTATTTTGCTTGGCAGACTTCTGGCATTGGTGAACAAACACTTTAATTAAGTGACACCTTTTGCACATGTATGTTGCATATTTTTAATTTTTGTACAAATGGTACTAATTCCAATGGTTGTTTGTAACATGGGCACCTTCTTATCACCTGCCAGTTTTAGTTTTCCTTTTTCATTTTCTGTAACGGGTAAGCATTTTTTTTCAGTAGCAATGTGTTAAAAAATGGCATTAATGTGAAAGTAAATCTTCGAAGGGAAAAATGAACAAAGCACACATTATATTCATATAAGTGATCACTTGCCTCAGTCCGTAGCAGGTGGTGTGGATCTTGGCTGTTCTCTTCTTCCCCACAATCTGCATCTATAACTTCTGACAATTTTCCCTGACACCAAGCAATCCATATTGATGTCCCCGCCCGCAGCATACAGAATGAGATTGACAGCCTCAGATGTGCATTTTTCCCTATGGGGGTGTGGGGGGAGGGGAGTAGGTGTCCATTTTCTCCACAAAAGGGTCAGATTGCCTTCAGCTCTGTGCTGTGTGTGACTTTAGATCCCTGCCCCCATCCTTCTGGAAGCTGAGAAATACCATCTGATCTGTGTACATTGGAGGACAAATCTGTTATCAGATGTCCACTTCAAAGGATCCCCTTGGTTAATCCAGAAACACACATTATGTTTTTTTTCATTCAACCCATCAGGCTGAATGAAAAAAAAAAAACTGAGAGGTTGCTATACTATAAACTATAGTTACTATACTAACTATGCGATATTAGTGTGGTGATCTCTCCCACTGAGCTACTGTGTTCTGACAGGTGGACTGTTCCACTGCCAGGACACACTGATCAGTGCTCACAGCCATTGGCTTCCAGCGCTGATTGACTGCTGGTTGGATGCGGGTGTTCCGGCATGTCCCTTTCACAAAAGCTGGTCCAACGAACAGCTTTTGTCAAACACACAGCTGTACACACTGTCCGAATGTAAGCTGAGTCCTGCAGAACTGGCCAATATTTGGATCGTGTGTACCCAGCATTAGCTATGCATTAAGGGTGGCTAGCCTTTCAGGAATGCATGGCTTGGCCATTGGAGACCCTGTCATACCTGCACATATGTAATTTGCCCTCAAAAAAGGTTGTGGAGAGGCTTGTGAGAAGGGGTTAAGTTCTGGTAATCAGGGTATTGAAAACTATCTAATCCTAAAAGGATGAGTCGGATTTGACCCTGACTACTCTCTGGACGCTGCTTGCCCTAAACCTGGGCTGCCACTGACCACTCTGCCCATCTGCCAACTGCAAGTAACTGTTCATTGTGCTCAGTTCACACCTGCTCTGGCGTGGTAGCCAGGCACATAGCAGTGTGTATAGAACCTAGGAGCAACCGAGTGTGTCTTATGGAAATGGGGGGCTTTAAGTAAAGAACACAGATGCCAGCTATAGTGCGTGATTACCAGCGCTAGAAGTAGGCATGACACATGCTTTTCATCTTTCCTGTGATATTCCTTGGAGCAATTGAAAGTGCTGATAATGATTTGGAGAGCGAATTTGAAAGAAGGAGGTAGGTGCCTGGAAGCCATATTCCACTGTTCTATGCCTGATATGACCGATTGAGATCCAAGGGTCTGAGTATCTGCTGACAGTCTATTCACATGATGCACGGTGGTGAAGTTAAATGGTGGGAAGAGTTATCTGCATTTTTGTTCATGTCACTGATGTTTAGAGCTGGTCCACATTCATTTAATGTGAGCATATTTATTTTTTATCTTATTGAAATAATTACCACACTATGGTTTCTGCTTCTTGTTTATTTCCATAATATTTCCTGGAGTGACCTGGATGGATGTTTAGAAGGTCGATCTGAGAGAAGGGAGGTGACGTCTGGTGGCCACACTTTTAGATTTTTATATGACCGACTGATTTCTAAGGGTCTTATCATCCATTGAGAGTCCAATTCTTATGTGGTGTACTGCTTGGAGATGATATCCAGCGGTGGGAAGAAATAGCTGCATGGAATTGAGAACATTTTGTTTATGAGCACTAATTTATGGACACAATGACTACATTAAATGAGTGTGTTTACTTTTGAGCGGGATCACTGTTTTGACAATAGATCACTGTTTTTTTTTAGTTCCACAAATCTGGTATTTTTAATCATACTATTGTGCAACTGTACAATTTTACAATTTAAACGTGCATTTGCTGATTTATAATACTGTGCAGTAGGAACACTTCACTTGAAGGTATCCTTGACATATTAAAAGTCTGTTTTAAAGAACATTACTTAAAGTGTAAAAGCACCTTTTTTGTTCACGGCTTTCAGTCTTAGAAGCAAGTCAAACAAAAATGGCTTGAATTTGAGACCAGTTTGAAACACATTTGAAAATCATTTACATAGATTGTATGCAATAAATATATATCAACTAGTGTCAAAATTTAAACACAAATATAGCATAACTAGCATAACATAAATCAGCAAATATAGTACTTTTCAGCCTGGTTTTTTCTGTTTTTTTTTTTTTTTTTTTGGTCAGCTAAATAGCAGCTTAACCTCCCTGGCAGTATTATTATTTCGATTTTTGGTGCTGAAAGCGGGTACCATTATTTTGCATGGAAATTTGCCATTTTATATTGTAGGCCTGTAATTTTTAGGAATAACTCACTGAAATCCGTCCGAACAAGAGTCTAGTAAACATCCCAGGTAGGATAAAACTTGAAACACGAAATTATAAATTATAATTTAATAAATAATCATAAAAAATAATAATATAATAATAATAATAAATTTAATTCAATGATATAATCAAACCAAAAACACTGAAATTTGAAATATAGCACCAAGTTCGCACATCATTGAGCAAAGTCACAAAATCGTTTTCAGTGTCTGATGACGAATTTCCCCACAAATCATTATCACTCAATTTTGCAAGTAGTTCTAATTTACTATCGCTGTTCTCTAGCTGATCTAAAACCGCTTTTGACCTAAAGGGATGCTTTTTGGACGCCATGGACGTTTATCAGTTTCCAGGCAGAAAGAACAGTCAAAATTCAGGCAGGGCACAGGACAAAGCATTAGGGACAAAATGTATGTGAAATGGTTTGATACAGTAATGTTTTACTATGTGATTTTAGTGAATGTCACTTTTTGTCATTTTCAAATTTCCCGCCGTTCCGTCCCCCGTACGTCCCGACGCTCGCAGGGGATGGAACCCAGATGACAGATGCCGGCATCCGCCGGATTACATTGCCAGGGACACTGCAGGAGGGACATCGCGGGAGCGCAGGACAAGGTAAGTGCAAGAGGGATCCCGGAGCAGCGCTGCAGGGTATTCCCGAGTGTAGCTCGGGGTTACCGCTTGTGGTACTGAAACTTTACCCCGAGCTACACTCGGGAATACTGCCAGGGAGGCTAACTGCTTCCCGCCCACCCGCAATGTACTGCGGCCGGGCGGCAGCTACAGGCAAAGTGACGTACCCGTATGTCGCTCTGGCTGTACTAACACAGCGGGTGTGCATCACTCCCCATCCCCCCCCCCCCCCTGTGACTGCTGTATCCACAGCGAAATGAAGATGCCGGTGAACTGGACCCGGTGATCATGTGATCACAATGTATGCAAAGCTGTTATGAATCAGTCTCATTCATAACAGCTCTGTTTCTCTTCCTAGTGAGCTGTGATTAGCCCACAGCTGTCACATGATACAAGGTGTCAATTGCAGCTCCCTGTGCCATGTGACCAGCTCTAGTCAATCACTATCTTCAGCTGTCAAAAACCTAATTCATTCATGCCAGATCATGAATGAGTTAGGTTCATGACAGCAAGCTTTGCATTGCAGGAGAAATAATCTTTATTTTTCCTGCAAAGCAAAGTGTAAAAAGAAAAATCCCTGATCACCCCCACACGCACACACACACAGTAGTACAATGTTACTATGGCACTATTCTGATAAAAGTATTTAAAAATTTAAAAAATACCATATTGAGAATTAAAAAAAAACAATTTTAAGGGTTTTTTTTTAACTACTTGCCAACATCTTACCCGCATTTTGTGGGCAAGCAGCAGCTCTTGGCAAAGCAACGTAATCTTGTGTCACTTTCTATTTTGGGGTGTGAACGTGCCTGCGCCCCCCGCTGCCCCCCAGTCGGTCCAGGGAGAGAAGAGAGAACACGGTACTGAGTAAAAGCATTACATTTTACACACACAGGTTCGATTAGCAAATTTAACCCTTTGATCACCCCTATTAACCCTTTGATCGCCCCGTCACCCAGCCAGTGCCATTAGTACAGTGTCAGTATATAACATTTTTCACTGATCACTGCATTCCTGACAATAGCGACATCAGATAGCATCAGGGTCAGTAAGCGCCCCACCCAGCAAGGGTCAGCTAGCGTTAGATTGCCCGCACACTATTGCACTCACACTGTAGATCGCTGATCACCCCCATTACTAGTTTAATGTTTGAACATATCAATATAATGATCATGAACAGAACTATACTAGTGCCTGCTTTGTATAGTGCCCCTAAAAACACAGTGTTAGCAGGATCAGCCTCGTTCACAGGCAGCACTAGCATTTATCCCTTTCACTGTTTTCACAGAAGATTTGTACCAATTGATTGTGGGCCATGGCAATTTATATGCACAACAATACATCGCCGCCCACCCAAATTCAGCTCTTGCCAGACAATTCACATGGAAACCTATCACAGTTTCTGAATTTAAAACTTTTTTGGGCCTAACCCTCAACATGGGCATTACAGAAAAGAATTATTTGCAGTCATATAGGTCCACAGACCCGATTCATCATATGCCAATGTTCTTTGCTGTTACATATACTGTATGCCCAACATGGACCAGCAATGTACTGGTATGTTGCTGGAATTTGAGTGTTTATACCTGGACAATGCCTGCAGCTACAGGCATCATCCTGGTATAATTTTTTTTCAGCTGGCAGTCGGCTTTCATGTAAAAGAAATCCTAGTGGCCAATTAGCTGCTGAATTGTTTTTTACGAGCAACAGGAAGGGACAGCCCCCCCACAGAGGAATCCAAGAATGCAGCTGGCAGATCCGCTGCCTGACCATAGAGCTGATCAGAGACAAGAATAGCTCCAATCATCTCTAGAGTCTAAGAAATCAGAAGCTTCAGTTTCTCAGGACATAAACAGCACAATTTGCAAATTGGGAAAGCATCTGATCACACCGATGTTGATGAGATCAGATGATGTAAGGGCAGAGGAGATATCTAGAGTCTGATAGACCCCAGATTTCTCCAAGAAGAATACCTGTCAATGCCTATTGCAGTCAAAGGGGATATTTACATTCCCTGTAATAGCAATAAAAATGATTTTAAAAAAAAGGAACAGTGTAAAAATAATAAAAATAAAATCAAAATAACTAAAAAGAAAACAAAAAAGCACCTTACCCCCCTTGTGCGCACACCTGCCAGACCCCGTGCCGGTATGTAGACAGCGGTTGCACCATGCATGTGAGGTATTGCCACGAATGTCTGATCAAGGGCAATACTTCTAGCACTAGACCTTCTGTGTAAATATAAATGTGTGACCTGTAAAGGCTTTTAAAGTGTCACCTATCAATAATAAAAATGTATGTAATTTGTTGCCATTGCACGGCCATGCGAAATTGTAAAGTATTACATGTTTGCTATCTATTTACTCGGCGTAACATCATTTTTTACATTTTATCAAACAATTGGGCAATATATTGTGTTTTTATGCATTAAAATTCTAAAAAGTGTATTTTTTTTTTTCAAAAGATTTGCGTTTTAAAAATATCTGCGCAAATACTGTGTGACGTAAAAAACTTCAACACCCACCGTTTTATTCTCAAAGGCCTTTGCTTTGAAAAAAATTAAAAATGTCTACTAATTATATTTATTTCTTATATCATCTTCTGAAAATAAAAACAGGTCAGAATCTGGTCTACTATTTTTTTTGTGCAATATTCTATATGTTGCATACTTTGTTTTATTTTTTTAAACAAAGCTGTTTTTGGTAAACATTCTACATTTACAAAAGGGCAACATAGCCTCTGGTGTTGTGGAATCTTGCGGTTACTTGGGTCAGAGGAATTGGGCAGTATTTGTTTCTAACTTGAATAAATATGTACACAATTAATGCAGCCTCAAAAGCCAAATATGCAGATACCATTATGGTGGTTTAATGAACCTGAATATACCTTTTGGTCAATAATGAAACTCGTTGAATTAAAAACTAATCTGCGGCTTGTGAAGGGAAATTACGGTAGTATTACCATAGTCAATAAAATTAGAAGGCAGTTCAACATGCAACATGATCCAAGCACACAAAGATTCTTTTATCAGGTTTGTGCATGAGCATGAACATTTGGATCATCCAAGCATACATACTGTACGTATGCATATGAAGGCTAGTGCAACAGCGTGTTTAAACATCCTTTACTGTCACTTATCTCTCAGGAAAAAATAGCAGTCATATGAAATGATCAAAAAACATATAATCAATATTTCCTCTAGATCAGTAATTCCTAGTATACAGCAGAGTCTCCTTGTGCCCGAAGACATGAGGTATTTGCCTAATCTGGCCAAAATCAGAGTTAGTGCCAGTATTCTTATATTTGGCCACCTTCAATGAAGATGTCAGGGGCTGGACATGAATCTGGGACCTCTGCTGTGTCTGGCAATAGCTCTTCTCACTGAGCTACCTGAGATGCTGGACAGCACTCTGCCTGATCCATTGGACAATCCTGCCTTGTGTCTTGTTTTCTGCTGAACCTTTAACTCTTTGCTCCTCCCATGAACTTCCTGATTTAAGCCATGCCTCTGCACTACCTGTTTGCCAGATTATTGTGCCTCTACAGCCAATATCTCGCTGTTGTCTCTCCTGCTGCTGTATGTTCCTTCACTACCACTCATTACTGACCTATGGCTTGTTCCTCGACTACGCTTCTGCTTGATCCCAACCTGCAACCACTTGTTACCGACCTTAGGCTTGTTTACTGACTATGCTTCTGTTTGATCCCTACCTGCTATATCTGCTACTGGACCCTGGCTTGCTCAGCTTCCTGTGTGGCGATCCTGAGGACTGTGACCTGCTACTAACATACAGCAAAACCCATCTTCACCATCAGGAGCTCTGGTGAATACCAGTTAGTATTTAGATCTTGCACCTCAGGTGAGCCTGCTTAATCTTCCAGGGTGACCTGCTTGTATAACATCCTGCTGGTTGGTGAAAGCGTCTCTGTTGCTCTAGCTACTGGTCTCCCGAGCCTGACACCTCACCGTGACAACAACTTTTTCAATACTTTATACTTCATTATTAAAATGTGTGCCTATAAATGAGTCTTGTCTAGTTTAAATTTATCTTTTCCTAAGTTTCATCAATTTTGGTATGTTCTTAATGGACTCGTCTATTGCTAATTTTATACCAGCTGCAGAAATATTGTTTCTATTATACAGTAGTCTAATAGAAGCTGAAAAAAATGTCATATGTGGATTTAAAAATAGGCACACTGGATCACAGTCAAGAGAATAACATATGGCATATTAGGAGTCTGCCACAAACAGCTGTAACAAAAAAGTTCTATAGAAAAATATCCTATATATAGCAATGTACATCTCATACTATAATTACAACATCAAGCCTATTTGGCAAGCTGTTACAAATAACAATTATAATGTGCAAAATGCCATAATGTCTACCAACTAGATATTAGCTTATTGTAGATTGATCTGAGAAATATAAATCCTGATGTGTGGTGTATTAATAGGCCTCCTGCATCCTAAGGAACACTAGAAATATATGTGTTGGAAAAATAGTTGATTTTTTTTTTTCATTAAAATGTCTTAAAGGGGTCACTTATATACATTGTATTGAAATGCCAGTCATAGTAAATGCCACCTATATACACTGTGCAGTAGCTATCCATGCATAATATGTGGCAGTGCACCACAACAATGGAAAAAAAAAGCATGTACATTGATTGGTCCATTGCCCTTCCTATTCTTAAGTAACTATACCTTTATGTGTGCTCAGTTTTGGCAGCAAGGGATGCATCTAATAAATAGCAAGCTTAACATCTGCCAGGGAGCTTGGGATCACCAACCGGCTGTTTCTAAAAGGAAAACAGTATTTATTGTTCCTTTAAAATCAGGAAAATAAACCACTTTATTCGGGAGAGCAAGTACAGTCTATAGCTCAGGTATATTGCAAACAATATTAGGCTCACCACCAGTATATCAGTCTCATACCTGGATTAAGGTTCTCATCTGATTAAGGGTACAGGAAAAGCTGAAGGAGCTCAGCAAACAATGTTTATGTTACAATACATCCCACACCTCCTCACACCTGTGATCTACTCCAATCCACCTCACAGACAGGTGCTGACTCCTTTCTGCTCCTTTTCAAACCTCCTCTGA